CGGCCCGGCTGGGCTCTGCCCGGCCCGGCCCGGCCCGGCTCGGTTCGGCTCTGCGGGCGCACGGCGGGACCGGGCGGCGGGGCTGTGCACGGCCAGGGGCTGGGGCATCCTGCGGGACCTCGCCAGCGCCGATCGCCCCTCTCCGCTAAGCCGTCTGGTAAAGTTGCGGGAGGATGGATGCCGAGGTTGAACGTCTTTGCTATTTCTCTTTTATTTTCGTAGTTTTTTGCTTGTTTTGCTTTTTTTTTTTTTTTCCTTTTTTTTTTTTTTTTTTTTTTTTTTTTTTTTTTGAGGCTCGAGTGTGTTTTGGTGGTTTTTGATGCCGGTAGGCTCCGGCGCTCTCCTTTACTCCTCTCGGCATGTGTGAGCGTCTGTGTGTACGTGGTCTCAGTTTCGGATTCCCTGTAAAGCACGGAACCAGCCCACAAGAGGTCATTTTGGGAAGAAAAATTACTTTGGTGCATTGCCGTTGCAGTTTTCTTTCCCTGTTTTCCTGTATTCCTCATGGTGCGGGTGTGCTTTTTTGTAATGAAATACGTGCCTGTAGGGTTCCTTAATATAAATCCTCACAGGCCTGTCCACAGATGTAATGCTGCCTGCAGAAGGAGCACGAGTAGCTCGTTTTCTGTACAGACTTGGGTGTTGCAGGCAACTGAGGCTCTGGGAAATCAGTGTCCCTCACACGGTGGATGTCCGGGGCTGGACAATGCTGGTTGTGTGAAGGCATCACCTGTCTACAAGTATCCTGTGACACCTGGGCAGAAAGCTGGCAGCTGGAGGAGGAAAGTGTTTCCAGCACGTTGCTCAACTGGCCACTCTGAAAGTTATCTTGATAAGACCTTGTGAAGTTGATGAGGAAAATATATTGCTAATTGTTCTTTTTAAATGGAATTGGCTTATCTCAGACTAGTGCTGAAGGTAGCCATCTTGCAGGGAAGTGCTGATATTTCTGAAACGGAATGCTGTAGAAACCTATGTAAAGATCATAACTGGTTTTTAAAATATTACCAGAGATTTGACGATCCTGAAAGCCTTCTAAAAAAACCCCAAAACCATCCACTGTTTAGGTACTCTTTTGTCACGTCAATAGTACTAAAACATATTGTCATGTCAAGTGATATTTTTAGCATGAGGATCATCTGCTGAACTGGGAAATTTAGCAGTGTCTGACTGTAACACCTAAACTCTTGGTGTGTGCAGCTGGCAAGAACAGCTTCCTGGGTTGCAGATTTCTGAGTTAGCTCAGGGTAATGTGCTCATCCGTCAAGAAGAGTCAGAGCATAAAGGTTTCACTTCACGTATGCTTCAGTCCAGCGTGTGTTGGCAAATTTTGCCTCTAGTAGTAGGAAAATGTTTGTAGAGGCTGAGTGGGTATGTTCAGTTCTAAAATTCCAAGTAGTATTCGTTAGCATGGCACGCTAGAGTGTGGGTATTTAAAGAGACTTTTATCCCTGCCAGAGATAAAAATTGCCTTGAACTTTAAGCGGAATTGTTGGAAGTTAAGGCATTCACTCTGTACCCTGAGCACAGAGTTCAAGG